TACTGCTTGAGCCACATCCAGCCCCCAGCCCTTTTTATTATTTTTTAATTTTGAGACAGGGTCTTGCTAAGTTGCTTAGGCTGGCCTTGATCCTCCTGCTCAGCCTCCTGAGGTGCTGGGATTACAGGCTGGCACCATGCCTAGCACTACTACACTTTAAAATATACTTTATAAATATTTAAATAATTTCAGACTTACAAAATTTACAAGAATAGTATAAAGAATTCTCATATATTTTTTATCCAGATCCAATAATTAAACTTTATCATGTTTTCTTTTTTTGATATTTTTTTAGTTGTAAATGGACACAATACCTTTATTTTATTTATTTATTTTTATGTGGTGCTGAGGATCAAATCCAGGCCCTCACACAAGCTAGGCAAGCAAGCACTCTATCACTGAGCTATAATCCCAGTCCTTATAAAAAATTATAAATAATTTTTGTCTGAACTGTTTGAGTATTTTGAAGATGTTATTCCCCCTTTCTCTTAAATCCTATGTGTATTTCCTAAAAAAAAAAAAAGAAATTCTCTTACATAATCATAATGCAATAATCAAAATTGGAAAATGAAATAGCAATATCTAATATAGACCTTAAAATTTGCTTGTAGCCAGGTATGGTGGAGCACACCTGTAATCCCAGCTGCTTGGGAGGCTGAGGCAGGAGGATCGCAAGTTCCAAGCCAGCCTCAGCAACTTAGCAAGGTCCTAAGCAACTAAGTGAGACCCTGTCTCAAAATATAAGATTAAAAGGGCTGGGAATGTGGCTCAGTGGTTGAGCAGAGGACCCCCTGGGTTCTTTTTTCATCTCTGGTATGAAAAAAAAATGGGTTGTCATACTAATGTAGTAAGTATGTACCGTATTGCAACTTTTCAAGACTTGCTTGTTTTGCTTGGCATAGTTTGTACATTCATCCATGTTGCCATGAATAGCACTAGATTATTACTTTTATGGATGAGTAATATTCTATTATTTGAATACACAATCTGTTTACGTACTTACCAGTTGATGAACATTTGGGTTATTTCCAATTTCAAGCTACTATGAATAAAAGCTGTTATGAACATTTATGTTCAAGTTTCTGTGTGAATATGAGTTTTCTTTTCTCTAGGATAAATACCAGGAGGTGTGATTGCTGAGTTGCATGATAAATATATATTTAAATTTACAAGAAACTACCAAACTCTGTTTCAGAGTAGCTCCATATTCTGTAATACCCCAGCAACAAATGAGAAATCCACTTTCTATATTCTTTCCAGCGTCTGTGTTTTTAATATGCATTTCCACAGTCATTAATAACATTATGTGATTCATGTATGTGCTAGCCACCCATATTTCTTCTTTGGTAAAGTATTCAAATACTTTGCCCATTTAAAAAATGGTTTCCTTATTTGAAATTAGCCAATCCCCAAAAAACCAAATGCCCAATGATTTTTCTGATACAAGGAGGCTGATTCATAGTGGTATTTGGAGGATGGAATGGGAAGATTAGATGAACTCTAGATAGGGCAAAAGGATGGGAGGGAAAGGGAAGGAGCATGGGGTGAAAAAGATGATGGAATGAGATGGACATCAATATCCTAAGTACATGTATGAAGACACAAATGGTGTGAATATACTTTGTATGCAACCAGAGGTATGAAAAATTGTGCTCTATGTGTGTAATATAAATTGTAATACATTCTATTGTCATATATAACAAATAAGAATTTTAAAAAACTGGTTTCTTCAGGTGCTGACTTTGTGGCTCAGCAGTAGAGCACTTGCCTAGCACATGTAAGGCCCTGGGTTTGATCCTCAGTATCAAATAAAAATAAATAAATAAAATAAAGGTATTATGTCCAACTACAACTAAAAAATAATATTAAAAAAACTGGTTTCATCTTTTTTTTCTGCTTAGTGTAGGGGTTGGTACCTAGCCACTTAACCACTCAACAACATCCCAACCCTGTTTTTTTTAAAGACAGAGTCTCATTAAGTTGCTGAGATTAGCCTTGAATTTGTGATCCTCCTACCTCAGCCTCCTGGATCACTGGGATTATACCTGTCTATGGATTGGTATAGTGGATTATTTTTTCTTATTATTGTATTTTTAGAGTTCTTAATATATTTCTGAATACTTTGCTGGAAATATGATGTGCAAATATTTTCTCTTGGTCTGTATATTATCTTTTTCTTTTTTTTAGACAGGATCTTGCTAAATTGTTCAGGGCCTTGCTAAGTTGCTGAGGCTTGCTTACAACTTGTGATCCTCCTGCCTCAGCCTCCCAAACCATTGGGATTACAGGTGTGCACCACCATGCCCAGCTGCCTTTTCATATATATATATATTGTAGTTGGACACGGTACCTACAATACCTTTATTTTTATTTATTCTTATATGGTGCTGAGGATCAAACCCAATGTCTCACACATGCTAGGCGAGTGCTCTACTGCTGAGCCACAAACTCAGCCCCTGCCTTTTCTTTTTTAAAACAGTGGTGAGGGAGAATATGCTATGATTGAAGAACTGATAGAAAGGCCAGAGTGATTGAAATACAGAGAATAAAGAAAGTACATATATGGTGAGGCTAGAGAGCTAGGAATTTACAGGCCAATTAAGGAGTTTAGTATTTATTTTGAAGGTAAGAAGAGGCTACCAAATGCTATTTAAGCTCAGGGTGACATGAATGGATTTGTGTTTTGAAAAGATCACTCCCACTATAGTTTAAATAATGGATAACTGAAAAGGGCTAGAGTAGTTTTATGTAAATCAAAGTTGAAACTTACTACAATAATCTAAACAACACAGCTTAGAATAGGATAATGATAGTGAATAGGGAGAAGAATGAACAGGTTGAAGAGATAATAAGGAAATAAATTCTAATTGTGTCCAATATTCAGGGAAAAGGTTTAATACTTCAATACTATATTGGATGTTTAGCTATGTTTTTTTCTTTGTAGGCCTTTATCATAAGGAGAAAAGTATCCTTCTTCAATTTTCTGGGAGATTGTAAAATAGATCATAAATAGATGATGAACTTTGACAAATGCTTTTTCTGAATAAATTGAGATGATTATGTGGTTTTCCCTTTTTTTTTTTTTTTTTAAATCTTTTTCTCTGGAGTGATGGACTTGCCTTACCACTGAGCTACACCTGGAATTCTATGCATTTTCTTGTTTATTCTATGAAGAACTACATTTACTTTTTTTTTTTTAGTACTAATTATTCAACTTAGATCCTATGCGTACTAGGCAAGCACTCTATGATTGAGTTACATCCCTACTTATTTTTAAAAAAGTTTTTATTGAGCTGGGCATGGTGGTATATGCTTATGACCCCAGCTACTCAAGAGGCTAAGGCAGGAGGATCCTAAGTTTGAGACCAGCCTAGGAAATTTAGTGAGACCTTCTTTCGAAACAAAAAAATAAGAAAGGACTGAGGATGTAGCACAGTGGTAGAGTACCCCTGGGTTCGGTCCTCAGTCCTGGAAAAAAAAATTACATTGGTCCTGGTTATATGGGGCCTGCCTTTAATCTTAGTTATTCAGAAGGATAAGGCAGGAGGATCCAAGTTCTGGGCCAGCCTCTGCAACTTAGACCCTGTCTGAAAATAAAACAAAGCAGGGTGGATATGTAGCTCAATCATAGAGTGCTTGACTACCACGTGCAAGTCCCTAGGTTCAATCCCCAGTACCACCCACACACCCACCACACATACTTACTCTCTCTCTCTCTCTCTCTCTCTCTCTCTCTCTCTCTCTCTCTCTCAAAAGAAACTATTATTCTTTCATGCCAGATTCATTTTTGTTAAAAACTGGGAAAACTTCTAGAGTAGTAGGTTTTAAAGGATAAATAGAAATTTCCAGGACTTCAGTGGGGAAGGCGCTCGGAAAAAGCAAAATGTGGAGGTTGTTATAAATTTTTTCTAAAGCCCAAATTCTAACATGGTTTATGATGCTTTCTTCTACCATACCTAAAATGCTACATTTGAGTCATGGAATTACCTGAGGTTCCTTAGTCTTTCTCCTTGCTCTGAGCCTTTGTACGTATGATTATCTGTACTTGGGATGTCTTGTTTTCCTGATTTCCTTTAACTTGAATAATTTTTTAAAAAATTTGTAGTTGTAGAGGGACAGCATGCCTTTATTTTATTTACTTATTTTTGTATGTGGTGCTGAGGATTGAACCCAGTGCCTCACATGTGCTAGGCAAGTGCTCTGTCACTGAGTCACAGCTCAGCCCCTAACTTGAATAATTTGCTTGTATTCTAGGTCTTATCTTTTTTTCTAAGTTTTATTTTAATATATATTTTTTAGTTGTAGATGGACACAAGACCTTATTTTATTTATTTATTTTTATGTGGTGCTGAGGATTGAACCCAGCGCCTCACACGTGCTAGGCAAGTGCTCTGTCACTGAGCTATAGCCTCAACCCCTCTAGGTCTTATCTTAAATTTCACCTCCTCTGGAATATTTTCCCTGATCACCTATTCTTTAATGCCAGTCTCCCAGGTCTGAATTAGATGTTCTATGTCTCTCTCAATACCCTAAATTCACTTCCGTATAGTGCTTGTAAAATTATTGAAATTTCTTTTTACTCTTCTTCATTTTTCATTAAACCTGGAGCTCCTTACGAGTGGCACTGTATCTTCTCTGTTACTCCCAGGAACCTAAACTATGCTTAGCAGAGAATAAACCTCAGTAAATGGTTCTTTTTGTTTGTTTTTTATAGTACTGGGGATTGAACCTAGGGCCTTGCACATATGAGGCTAATGCTCTACAGCTAGCTAAGCTAAATCCCCAGCCCTTTTTTAAATTTTATGTTGAGAAAGGGTCTTACTAAGTGCCCAGGTTATTCTCAAACTTGCAAGCCTCCTACCTTAGACTTCTGAGTTGTGAGATTACGAGCATGTGCCACTATACCTGGCTAGTAAACATTTCTTGAATGAACAAATCCCTTAAAAATACCTACTGTGAAGAAAGATTGGTACCTTTCTGCATTTTCTTTCCATATCCAGCATTCTCCTGGTGTGCAGCCTGTAGATGTAAAGGAAGTTGCTGAGAAAGGTGTACAGGCCCTTGTGATTGGCCGAGGAATGAGTGAGGCCTTGAAGGTAGGTATTGGTATGCACAGCATTCCTGAAGACAGCTGGTGATTTCTTGGGTCTTTACCTTACAGATATGTTCTTCTTTAGAGTTCATCTCTATATTTCATACACTGTCATTTTGTTGGCCGGTGGATGAGTAAAGACTGTATACACAATTCTATTTCATCAGGATTGGACTCTATAATATAATCTATCTAACCCTGAGATTCTGTAGTTTCATCTATCTCTACCCCAGAATTCCTAAAGTTCTACAATTATCAGTACAGTTATTTGTTGCTTAATGACAGGGGTATATTCTTGGCAGTGCATTCTTAGGTGATTTTGTTTTTCTCTAAGCATCATACCATGTATTTATGCAAAAAGGGCTACAGCATCACTGGATGCTATAATTTTATGGGACCACCATCATGTATGCCATCCATTATTTAATGAAAAGTCATTATGAAGCACATAACTGTATTTTATCCTTTAGATTTTAATACTGTTTTACATTTTTAGAGTATACTTTATGGTGCTTTCCCTTTTCCTGGACACATTCACATTATGATTTTCCCCCTTTCAGAAAAAAAATATTCATTTTTTATTTTGCTTACAGCAATAGAAATGCTAGCTGGGCATGGTGGAACACACCAGCAATACTAGCAACTCGGGAGGATGAGGCAGGAGGATCACAAGTTCAAAGCCAGCCTCAGCAACTTAGTGAGGTCCTAAGCAACTTAGTGAGAACCTGTCTCAAAATAAATATAAAAAGAGCTGGGGATGTGGCTCAGTAGTTAAGCACCCCTGGTTCTATCCTAGTACCAAAAAAAAAAAAAAAAGAAAGAAAGAAAGAAAGAAAGAAAGAATGAATATTGAATAAAGAACTAAAGAATATTGCAAAATATTCAAGGTTCAATGCAGAAATATAGAAGTAAAAGGTAAAAGGTCTTCCCTCCCCCATCTCTAAATTTGGTGATACTGCACTGATGTTCTCTATATGAATATGAAAATATATACACTCTTAATATATAGATATATATGTATGTACACTTACAACCATATTACAGAAATCAGAATCACACCGTATGTGTTGTTCTGTGACTTTCCCCCATTATTACCTTATAGATAACCTTCCACATAAGTATAGAGTATTAATAATTATAAAATATATAAAATATGTAATATAATTATATATTACAAGTATTATGTCTATCTATAACTAAAAAATAAAAAAATTCAAGACAAGCCAGAGTTAAGATAATACAATACAATAAAGGCTACCACTACTGAGAATATCTTCCATATAAATTCATTTACAAATATGTATTAAGTATTTTCTATAGGTCAGACACCTATAGTCACTGAGGACAATAAGATAAATGAAACAAACAAGTTTCATCCCCCTGTGGATAATAAAAAACTAGATAATTTCAGATGTTAAGTGCCATGTACAAAATGGTGACTTAATATGGGGAGGAGGGGCTGCATATGGGTGTTGAGAAAGGCCTTTCCTCTGAGAAGACATTGAACAGCACAGCACATGCATTAGTTAATGCTGTCTTTACATACTTGCTGTGGTGTAAGCATTGTTATTCATACTTTACAGGGCAGGAAATTGGGACTGAGACACTTTAAATAGCTGGTTGAAGGTCTTTTAGTTAGTATGACAGAATTTAGACTTAGGTTGAACCAACTCAAACTTCTAAAATTTACATAATGTAGGTTCTGGACCATGCTAGACATTTTTCATACAGTAGCTCAGTTAATAACCCTCTGAGCTAGTTAGGTATTATCCTGAATTTACAGACATGGAATCAAGGGCTCAAAGAATTTAATTCACTTACCCAAGGTGAATCTGTTTATAAGGATTTAAATCCAAGGATGACTCCAGAATCCATGCTCTTCCCATTTCCATTTCACTTGAGCTTTATGCATGGCTACTAGGATGCTTTTGTCAACCTCTCGGAGGCCTTTTGGGGGCAGGGTGCTAAGAATTGAGCCCAGAGCTTCAAGCATGTTAACACACATCCACCTGAGTTTCATCCCTTCTGAGGCCTTTTGACTCATTGGGGCTTACTGCCAAATGTTGGACTGGTGACATACTGGGTGACTGAGGAGTGACAGATGTTACTGTCTAACTCTGTAAAGTACACTTGCCTTATGTCAGGAAAGGAAGCTCTGGAGGGCCTTTCCCCCTACTTACTCATCTCTTTTCCTCTTCCTAGGTGCCTCCATCCACTGTGGAGTACCTCAAGAAACAAGGCATTGATGTGCGGGTCCTCCAGACAGAGCAGGCAGTGAAGGAGTATAATGCTTTGGTTGCCCAAGGCATCAGAGTGGGAGGTGTCTTCCATTCCACCTGCTAATGTAGCCTTAAGAGGAGAATAAATCACTAAATTATCTTGCTTGTGACTGTCACACTGATCATTCTCCACACAAGCCTTCCCCATACATTTTTGAACATTTGTTCACACCAAGTCCTGTGCCAGACTCTTAGGGTAGATACCTGAATGATTAAGGCAAGGTCCCTGTCCTTGGAGTTGCTAAAAATAAGAAGAGACAGATATTTACTGAAGTTTAATAATGGAGTATTAGGCTGGAAGTATGAGAAACTTTAGACAAAAATAAAGGCTATCCTTGAAGGCTGAAGAAAATGCTTTAAAATCACTTTGCAGTTGACACTTTGGAATGTTTATCCATCAACATGACTAATATTTTTAGTACTAGGGACTGAATCCAGAGGTACTTTACTACTGAGCTACATTCCCAGCCCTTTAAAAACAATTTTTTTTTGTACTGAGAATTGAACCCAGAGATGCTTTACCATTGAGCCACATCCTCAGCCCTTTTTATATTTTATTTAGAGACGGAGTCACACTGAGTTGCTTAGCATCTTGCTTTTGCTAAGGCTGATTTTGAACTTGTGATCCTCCTGTCTCAGCCTCCAGAGCTACTGGGATAACAGGCATTCACCACTGTGCCTGGCTCATTTTATGGTTTTTAATATAACATTATTTTATAGATTCATAGAATGTTGGAGCTCAAAAGAACTTCTCATATTTATTCAGTAATTCTTTTGTGCCCATTTAATGAGTCTGTTACAAATTTTCTTAGAACCAATTGTTGCTGGACCCTGGAGGTACAAGAGTATATAACTTTTAGTACTTGACCTCAGGATTTTTATGGCAGAAACAAACTGACAATAGTAATACAGTGTGTTAATATTAATAGTAGTTACAAGGTCTACTGATGGCACAATGGAAAGACTTATCCTATTAGAATGTAAAAAAATTAGGGAAGATATCACCAAATAGATCACAAGCTGAGTGTTAATGACATGTTTAATTCACTGAAAATCAACAGTGGCTGTTATAACCAGATATTTACTAATTATGGTATTTATCACAGCCATAACTAAATAAAATCACTCAACCTAAGTTGTTTGTTGAAGCAACAACTCAAGAAGACTGATCCTGCTGCCTGGTTGGCCCAGTTAGGCATTGGACTGAAAGCCAACATAGATTGGAGAGCAGCTTAACATGCAGCTTGGCAACAAAAGGTGCTAAGGCAATCAGAATGGAAAATGAAGGTATTTTTCCAACTTCAACTAGCACGTAACTGGCAGGGCCATGGTTATCTCTTTCTAGCATACATTGTGAGATCCCAAGAGGTCCCCAAGAGCACCTCTTAAGCCCATCATAGAATCTAGTAGAGGTTCTGCTTAGTGACATTTCTGCAGCTCTTTCTGCATTTGTCAGTTGACAGAATCTTTCTAGATCCGTTCCCTTGGCTCATAGAGCCAGCTAGGAGGAAGGTTTGCTAGGTGTGGGTGTAATCATTCTGAGTTGTTTCTACACTAAAGAGAAATTAGTACAGACTTCTTGCAAGTTTCTGGCAGTGAGGTTATTAAACTGTGTATAAAACCTGCTAAAAAATAATCTATACCTTCAAATCTGGTCCATATGATCAGTGCTGGAAATATAGAGCCTGGAGAGAAACTCTTTTTCCCATGACACCGTATTTAGTTCCATGTACTAATCATTAAATCCTTTGGTTCAATTTGTAGGCAGCACAGCCCTCAGTCTGCCCACATAATTTCTTCCAGCCTGAGTAGTTTCTAAGACAAGAAATCTACCAAGTGCAGTGTATGTATCTTTGTTCAATTCAATCATGTGAAAGCCAAATATAAAGATCTTTCAGAAATCTGAATTTCAGGGCTTGTTTCTATAGGCATGCCATGGTACTAAGTTTGCTCTGGATTCACATGCTCATTCATTCTTTCCTTGCCTGGTGTGTGCCAGGAGTTGTGCTAAGGATCCAACAACTCAAACATCCTTTCTTTTTTTTTAATGGAAATTATTATTTTTTAATACCTTTGTTTTTATTTATTTATTTGTATGTGGTGCTGAGGATCGAGCAGGGCCTTGCACATGCTAGGTGAGTGCTCTACCGCTGAGCTACAACCCCAGCCCCTCAAACATTCTTATTATCCAGGTATTCACAGATTAGTTGGAAGAAAGAGATATGTAAATATACAGTGATGACATAGAAGATGAAAACTGGCATAAATTTGCCTGGAGACATGCTGTGTCTCAATAATTTTAACATTTAGTTACAAGATTTTTAAATTATTTTTACACAAAAATACAGGGTGGAAGGCTGAGGTTGTCCTTCGGTGGTAGAGCGCTTGCCTCTCACGTGTGAGACCCAGGGTTGGAACCCCAGCACCACATAAAATAAACAAAGATCTTGGGGCTGGGGTTGTGGTGGAGTGCTCCCCTGGCATGCTTGAGGCACTAAGTTTGATCCTTAGCACCACATAAATGTAAAATAAAGATATTGTGCCTACTTAAAACTAAAAAATAAATATTAAAAAATAAAGATCTTGTGTCAATAACTAAGATATTTTTTAAAAATGCAGGGTGGCTTTTCTGGAAAAACTGAAACATGTGGTACCACTAGGCCCACATTTACAGATTAACATTGAGTGGAGGTAGGCATGGTGGTGCATACCTGTAATCCCAGTGACTCAGGAGGCTGAGGCAGGAGGATTGCATGTTCAAAGCCAGCCTCAGCAATTTAGTGAGACCATCAACAACTTTAGTGAGACCCTGTCTCAAAATAAAAAAGGTTTGGGATGTAGTTCAATGATAAAGTGCCCCTGAGCTCAATTCCCAATACCAATAAATAAATATTGAGTATGATGGAACAACAGCTGCCTGCTTCTGACAGAGAATGTCTTCTCTGATTTTCAGTTGCCAAGATCTTCCTCTAGATTGCTGGATTCCTTTACTTTTCCTGTCCACCTTCTTTAGGAGTTTGCATTTGTGAACCTGCAACATAATGACAAATACCTGGCTTGAACAATGTATAGGAGGCTGTGAGAACAAAGAGACAACAGAAGTTAGATATGTTCTACAATGAGGCCCAGTCCAGAGGAATTGGAGGAAAGGAACTAGAGGTGACCAATTGAAGAGCACATTCCAAGTTTCAGTAAATCTAAAGGTCTAAAAGGGAGTGAGTCCATGGGGAGCTTTGGGAACAGCTGTAGGTACCTGTTCACCTAGAGGGGTACAGAGAAAGTCTGGGACAGGGTGTATGAGTCTGGAGACAAGCAGAGAGGCATGGACAGCCTTAGATTTTATCCTGGGACCAGTAGAGACATATTTAAAGGGACTTAAGCAGGATAATGGTGTGATCAGATCAGGGCTTTAAAAAATTTTACTCTGGGAATGGGAATATAGCTCAGTTGGTAAAGTGCTTGCCTCGAATGTTCAATCCCCAGCACCACAAAAAAAGAAAACTTTTTTTTTTTACTCTGATAGCTATGTGAAAGATAGACTGAAGTGAGCAAGACTGAAGCAAGAAGACCATTGGAAAGCCAATGTCATAGTTGAGAAATGATGGTGGCTGCATCAGGATAGCAACAATGATTTTACAATGAGATGAACACTGAGCCAGGCACAGTGGCACACACCTATAATCCCATCAACCTGGGAGGCTGAGGCAGGAGGAATCATAAGTTCAAGGCCAGCCTGAGCAATTTAATGAGACCCTATCTCAAAATAAAAAATAACAAGGCCTGAGGTTGTAGCTCAGTGATAGAGTGGCCCTGTGTTTAATCCCCAGTACTGGAGAAAAAAGAGAGAGAAGAGGTTTGAGTCCAGAAACATTTAAGCAAGCAGAATCTAAAAGATATGATGTCCGCTTGTGTAAGGGATGAGGATGGAGTCCAGTGGAATCCAGTGCTCTGACTGTTGGATGAGCTAGACTACTTACTAGAAACAGTAGACTTCTGTTACAAAAATCCACATTAGAGAGGCTGGGGCTGGGGCTCAGTGGCAGAGCACTTGCCTAGCATGTGTGACACACTGGGTTCCATCTTTAGCCACATAAAATAAGTAAATAAATAAATAAAATAAAGGCATACTGTCCATCTAATACTATAATTTTTTTTTTTTAACACATTAGAATCAGGAGGCCCAAGTTCCAGCCTTGGCTTTACCACTCAAGCTCAGTCTCTCATGTTCACTTATAAATTAAGATTTCACACTGGAGGGTTGTTTATGCTCCTTTCTAGGCCTTTAGAAGATATTCAGTTAAAAAATGTGGAATGAGATGCAGTAAAATAAAAATTCTCATTTTCACTGCACCTGAGATTCTTAGGTATAAGAAGTTTAAAAGGTTAAGCCCACCCCCTCAAAAACTGAATTCCTCAGCAACAGACTTGTCAGGAGCTTGCTCAAGTCTGTCCAAACCCAGCCAGCATGGTGAATTCCATAGCTCCTAGTACACCCTGTTCAATTCTCACAGCTCAAAAATTTTCTTCTGATAAACTAAACCAGAACCTGCTTCTTAACGTATATCCACTTTTGGCAGAAAAATCACTACATTTTGGATTTTATTTTTCATTTTGAGAGAGGGTCTAAGTTGTCCAGGCTAGCCTAAAACTTACAATCTTCCTGCCTCAGCCTCCTGAGTTGCTGGGACTACAGGTATGCATGACTATGCCTGTCTTTGAAAAGATTTTTATAAGGAAGGTATTGTATCTGAAAAACAGTTAGCATATTCTTCTTTTAGAAGGCTTACAACAGTTACAGCATGATGGGCTCAGTCAGCAGCATTGAGTCTTAATGTTTTTAAGACTCTAACAACTGCCATCAGGTCAGGGCCTCAGTACAACTCAGCCGGCTTTGAGCTTCATTTTATCTCCATGGCAGATACCTCTTTCTGGGCGCATCCTGCTGTGTTGACATGAGAATCTGTTGTGACATCCTTGAGATGTATTAAACAGGTGAGCACAGTATAAAAGTCCACCCCCTGGAGATTTCCCTTTCTCCTTCTAGAGCAGTTATGACCTCCTGGAGCCAGACTGCCTGCCTGGGTTCAAGTCCCAAATCTGTCA